TCCAGGTGGCAGGGCACCCTGGATTGCTCTCAGTGTGTGGGACTGTGCCAGGGATCAGCCTCTCAGCCTGCAGGAAGGCTCTCTGCCCGGCCTCCCCCAGGCCGTCCTTTCACTCCAGGACCCTTGTGTGCAGTTGAGTGGATGCAGAGTGACCTCACAGGAAAGGGCAGAGCAGACCTCAAGTCCCAGCTCAGCTCTGCAGCCTCCCAGTCTAGGACATGGACCAACCGAGATGCTTCTCAGAGCTTCCTCCCCAGAATCGAGAAATGGCACCATGGGACATGTGGTGGAGAGGATGGAAAATGGCTCCCTGGGGCTGGAGAGATTGTACAGAGGGAGGCGTCTGCCTGCACGCAGCCAATGGGGTTCGCTCCCCATACCCCATGCGGGTCCCTAAACCTCATCAGCAGTAACCCCTGAGCACAAAGCCAGGAGTAAACCCCGAGGATCTCTGAGTGTGGTCCCCAAGCCCCCAAAAAAACAAAGGAAAATGGCTCAGAATCCTTCAGTGCTGGCCAGCTGTGGACTGACCGCTCCTGTAGGAGCAGCCCAGAGCCAGGAGGTCTGCCTCTGAGGCAGACGCCCCTGAAGCCTCCAGTGGCCCTCTTCTGATTCTCTGATGTGCGTCTTGGTCTTGGTGGGACCTTCCTCCACCGCACGTGGTGACCTTCCCCACCAAACTGCACGGGCCCAGCCCCACTGGCCTGTGCCCCTTTCCTCTCGCACTCACCTTTCAGTTTGTTTCTGAAATAAGCACAAGTTTCTGACTTTCTCAAGAGCCTGCGCTGCGGAAGGCGAAGGATGTGTTCCTCAGTTTCTGTGTCAACTGTGAGCACCACAGGATTTCTATGGCTCTGCAGCCATGATTCCAGGCTGGTCCCCAAGACACAGGCACACAAAGACGATCACCTTCTTTGAGGGGCACCTCCAGTGGGGCTAGGGAGCTATTCCCAGGCTACTCCCAGATGTGCTCAGGAGACCAAGTGGTGCTGGGTGTCAGCCTGGGCCTCTCTCCTGCGGTCTGCTCTCAGCTCTTGGTGCCATCTGCCAGCCCTTAGAAATGGCTACTTTAGGGGCTGGAGCCATGGTACAGTGGGGAGGACATTTTCCTTGCATATAACTGACCTGGGTTTGATTCCCAGGACCCCATATGGTCCCTGAGCACTGCCAGGAGAGATCCCTGAGCATCGCCAGGTGTGACACCTCCCCTTCTCCCACTCATCTTGTATGATTATTTTGGAGTGTGCTAGTACATTCGCTCACACATGCACTCATTGGAGGGTGTGTGTGTGCAGGCAGCCTGATGTGTGTGTGGGTGGGGAGGGGGGTAAACCAAATGTAAAAACTAGTGCTTAAAAACCCACCTGGCAGAACTGGGTTAGCAGCCCGCGTGATGTAATGGGGGCCAAAAGGGTGCAGCGCTGCCACAGACAACAGAGCCTTGTTGTCTCATGACTCTGAGGCCAGAAATCCACATGGGTATCACTGGGTCATAATAGAAGGGCTGGGGCCAGGACATAGAACAGCTGGGAGGGCACATAGGGTCCAAAGGCTCTACCAGGAGTGAACCCTGAGCACCGGGCCAAGAGTAAGCACAGAGCACTATTGTGTGCGATCTCCAAAACAACAACAAAAGCAAGGAATTCTTTGCTTTTACCTTAAATCTCCAACACTCCCAAACAGTCCTATGTGAATTTCTAACCCCAGCGTGTTAGTAAGATTTGGGGCTGGGGTGAAACATGAGTTTACCATCTTCTTAGGTTGATCAGCTTCCCCCGCCCCCACACACATTCTTTTGTATTTTTTTTTTCCTCCCATCAATATTCTCTCAAGTAATTTTCCTTCAAGTGACCAGCACCCTAACTTGGGTGCTGGTAAGAGAATCAGCAAGGCTGGAGCAATAACACAGCAGGTCATGTTTTTGCCTTGCACGCAGCCAACCCAGATTTGACTCCTGACTTCCCATATGGTCCCCTGAGCCCCACCAGGAGTGATCCCTGAGTGCAGAGCCAAGAGTAAGAATTGAGCATCGCTGGGTGTGGCCCAAAAAATAAAACAAAAAGAGAGTGAATTGGCGAGCCAGCCTGGCACCCATGTGGCCTGGCCTTCTTCCTGGTCCCCAGGAATCAGAGTGGCCACCTAAAGCAGCCCACTGTTGAATGGGGCGTGCTGGGAGCTGAGCTGGCCAGTCATCTTGCTGAGTGCCGGACACTCTGGGGGAACTGTCCCTGTGAGGAGGCGCACCTTGGACCCCCAGCAACTGCTGAGGTCCTGTTTCACTTCAGGGCATCAGTGGCTGCAGCCTCAGAGACCAGGTGAGATGCAGTGTGGTCCTGCTTTCACTGTGGGGACTCTGGGTTTATTTGAATCACGATTGACAAGACCCTCATGAGCTTGACCTGGTTCCTCCCGGGAGGATTTGCATTTGTAGGAGTATCACCGCACACATCAGATGGGTTTTGGATTTGTTTTTGATTCAGCTTGTCCTGGGTTTGGAACTTGGTTTCACTGTGTTTGGAATTGGTTTTATTCTTTGTTTTGGATTTGCTTTTGCCCTGTGTTCCATTTTACGATGAGGAATTCATTTCTAATACCTTCTGGAAGCCTCCTGGGCTGTGGCCTGGCAAGCTAGACCACCTTGAGTAAAAACAAAATGGGCCCTTAGTGAAGAAAAATAATTTCTACTGTAACACAGCTTGGCCTGCTTATGTTAGGAATTGAGGCGAGAGGGTCCCTAAGTGGGTCTCTAAATGACTGCACTATCCTACGGTGAGAATCATTTTGTCAAAGAGCTGGTAAATGGAAAGACATCTCATGTGTCCAGGCTCTTGTGTCATTGCATATAACAAGAATTCCTCTCAGGAGGGGTCCTGCTTAACGGTGCAGAGAGGAGGAGAGAACACTAATCTCTCTGATAGCAAAATCTGGAAAGAAAAAGATGAAAAGGACAGAGAGAATTGGAATCACCCTCCTGTCCCCGGCTCTATGCCCTGGTCACCATGGTGCCACCTCCTGCACTACATCTGCTGACCCTTCCTCTGGCACCCCGTTACCACCCAGTTACCACCCACAGGGGCAGGTTGGCTGGCTCCTCCTCAGTCCCAGGGAGTGGGCAATGGCGAGGGGCCACTGTCCTATGCCAGTTATAGTTTTAACGTTAGGAAATTCAGGCTTAGGAGACAAAAGGAGTTCTAAGTGCTTTATAAAATTGAAGTTAATAGAAAAAGAAACATAACTGCATATTAGGATTAACATACATATTTATGGTGAGAAGGGATGTGGAAAGGAAAATATTTTCTTAGAAGAATTCTGTCTCAAGGTAAAAATCAGTTATTTCTAACATGGGAGAAAAAGAACATAGAATGTTGAGAAAACAATCAAAGGAATGTTTGCCCTTCAAACTAAAGAAAACAATCTCAGATGCAGCTTCTTTCCTCTAAACTCTCTTATATTTCTTTTTTTTTTGGTATTGGGTCCTACCCGGCAATGCTCAGGGATTACTCCTGGCTCTATATTTATGGTGCTCCGGGGACCATATGGTATTAAACCCTGGCCAGCCACATGCAATGCAAGCTCTCTACCCACTGTACTATTGCGTCAGTCTCTGAACTCCCTTTTAAAAGATTACTTGTAATCTTTTAAAGTATATATAAGATTTTGTTTAGGGGCTAAGGCCTCTAAACAAAGTCTTATGTGCAGCTGGTAGAGTGTTTGCTTGCCTTGCATGCCGCGGACCCAGGGTTTGACGCCCAGTACCCCACATGGTTCCCCGAGCACTGTGTGAGCACAGAGGCAGAAGTAAGCCCTAAGCATCTCTATGTGGACCAATACCTACCAAAAAAAAAAAGCCTTTTTTAAACTATCTAAACTGTATATTCTGACTGAAAATTGCAAAAAAAATTTTTTTTGAACTTTAAAAATGGGTGATATAGTATTGGAGAGGTAATACTGGGGTTAAAGCAGTTCCCTTGCATGCAGCTAGTTCCTGCTTCAAATCCCAAGCAACACATACAGTTTTTTCGAGCATGGAGAGGGGTCACTCCTGAGCAGAGATAAAGGAATATCCCTCAAACACTCCTGGGCGTGACTCAAGCCCTCTCCACCCACAACTAAATGTGACTGAAATAAATGAAAGAAGTTATAAGTAAATGGAGGCATGGATTGATTGAAAGGACTAGAACTCATACTTACCACACAGGAGCTCCGGGTTCAATCCCCAACAACAGAAAAAGTGGCCCCCAAAGCAAACAAAGGGCTTTTTTGGTGAAATGAATGGTTTTTATTTAACAAATGTGAGAAAGGAGATTTAGAAAGAGCACAAACATATATGGATGAATTAGAATTTTCTACATTCTGGATTTGATAACACATAATCCTCTAAAACAGACATCGACATTACAAGTGTACATCACACACAAAAAAACCTCTCTGATATTATTTACTTCTACTTTTCATTAAGATATGAATCTCTTCAAAAGAATGCATGTAGTTGGCTACAGCTACATTTTATGTAATTTGTAGAACAGACTTTATTAACTTGATGAAGGACTTGCTTTGTGTGGAGCAGATTCTAGTTCCATCCTTGACACTGACTCTAGTCTCCCATACCCCACCGGGAGTGCCCCAGAACAGACAGCTGTGAGTGGCCAAAAAACAACCAACCAGCCACCAGAGAGCAAAGAGCTCAAAGCACATTTCTCCAAAAATGATAGAAAAATGATCAGTAAGTGCATAAAGAAGCGTTCAGCACCGTTATTCATTAGAGCAAGACAAATCAAAACCATAGCGCACCTACTATGACGGCTACAACAAGAACAGGAAGGGAATGTTGGTGACGATCTGGTGAAACTGGAACCCTCATTCACTTTGCTTTTTACAGTTGCTGGTTGGACTGTGAGATAGTTCAGCAGTAGAAACTAGCTGGTTGGTCCAAAATTGAAGCAGAATTATCAATTGAACCAGCAATACTTTTCTAGCTAGAGAATTGAAGCAATTGGTTCATGCCTGCTCTGGCCACACATAGTAGATTGGAACAATACATAGAAGATTAGTGTGGCCCATGCAAGAATGACATGAAAATTCCTGAAATGTTCCAGTGATTAAAAAAGAGAGGGGGTCAGAAAGATAGTCCAGAGATAAGATGAGGCTTGCCTTGCATGAGCCAACCTGTGGTCAGTCCTGCACCAGCCTGCCTCTGGGGCACCTTCCCTTGGCCACTGTCCTAGTGTCCCCTGACTTATCCGCAGACGCACCAGTGTCAAGCTTCCTGCTGCAGAAGGTCTCCTGCTCGCTTCTACTGCCTTTGGGTGTTTGTGATTCTCTTACTAAGAGTCTAAAATGTGCCTTTTGTGGGGGACGGTGGCCACACCTGCCAATGTTCAGGGCTTGCTCCTGGCTCTGCACTCAGGAATCACTCCTGGTGGGGCTCAGGGACCACATGGGGTGCTGGGACTGAACTCAGGTCAGCAGGTGCCCTGTCTGCTGTGCTGTGGCTCTGGCCCTGAGATGTTCTGACACAGACTGACCGAGGCGCAGGCTGCGGGCTGCCGCAACTGACCCCTCACAAGCCTGCTCCCTGGCTGGCACTTTGCTGAGCTGTTCCGGACAACAGTATACAATGACCAGGTGCCTGACCTCATCCAGATGGGTCTCTCTGGTTCCTTTCCTGGCTTTGGGGGTGCAGGAAGATCTTCCCTGTTCTCTTCCTCCAGGAAAGGGGACTGATGCTAATAGGACTCTGGCCTCTTGACACCCCCAGACCCACCTGCCGGCTACTTGGTGCCAAACCTCAGAGCAGCCAAGAACTCCCCGTGTAGCTGCTGCTGGAGGGAAGTGTCCCCCACCAGCCACCTGGGACAGGTGAGGAGACTGAGTCAGGGTCTCATTTGGCCAGGCACCCGGGGGACCATGGCTGGAGGCCCCTGGCCCTCCCCTCCCCCACCCAGCCCTCTGCTCTCAGCGTCGCCCTCCCTGAGGCCAGCGGGTGGCCTGCAGGACTGATCTGGGGAGCAGCTTCAAATCACAGCAGTGGGAGGCCGCAGGAGGGGCCCTCACATGCTGGGAGGACAGTCCTGTCCCTCTCCTCCGCCCTAGGTGGTCTCTGTCCTTTCTGTCAACCAGAGACCATCAGACTTGCCGTCCCTGGCCTCTCGGGGCGTCCAGACAAGGTCCTCCTGGGGTTTGGAGGAAGCGGCAGAACTCCTTGGCCCTCTCTCTGGTGGGGGAGGCTCCCCCTTTTCCCCTGTTTCAGAATCTTCCCTTACTGTGGTCCAGCTGCCACACTGCTGTGGGAGGTGGGGGGTGGGGTGGGGGTGGAAGTACTCCCTGTACTTCCAGAAGCCCCAGCACTCATGTCCACACCCCAAAGCTGATACCCAGTTAAAAATTTAACTTCCCAGGATGGGAGAAGCATGCTGAAAATAGACTATAGACCAAACATGATTGCACTCAATGCCTCTTTTGCAAACCACAACACCCAAAAGGAGAGAACAAAAGGGAATGCCCTGCCACAGAGGCAGGGTGGGATGAGGGGATGGGGCGTGGGAGAGATACTGGGATCCGTAGTGGTGGGAAATGGGCTCTGGTGGAGGGATGGGTATTTGATCTTTGTATAATTGAGAACCAAGCACAAAATTTGTAAGTCTACAACTGTATCTCGTGGTGTCTCTATCACTGTCACTGTCACTGTCCTCCCGTTGTTCATCGATTTGCTCGAGTGGGCCCAGTAACATCTCCATTGGAGACTTTGTTGTTACTGTGTTTGGCATATCGAATACGTCAGGGGGAGCTTGCCAGGCTTTGCCGTGCGGGCGAGATACTCTCGGTAGCTTGCCGGGCTCTCCGAGAGGGGCGGAGGAATCGAACTCGGGTCGGCCATGTTGGCTGCGTGCAAGGCAAACGCCCTACCACTGTGCTATCGCTCTAGCCCTACCTCATGGTGTCTCACTAATAAAAATTAAAAAAAAATTTTAACTTCTACTGTACCACCCAGTTAAAAAATCTGGACTTCCTGAACTGTACGGTCATGACATCTCCAAAATTATTGATAAAAAGCAATATAAAATAAATTATTGTGGGCCTGTTATAGGGGAAGACTTGAGGTATGGTTGAATAAATGGAGACAGCGGTGGAGGGAAGGTGACAGTGGTGGTGGGGTTGGGGTTGGATATTGAATGCCTGGAACAAATCATCATGAATAACTCTGTATTTTTTTTTCTTTTTGGGTCACATCGGTGATGCACAGGGGTTACTCCTGGTTCATGCACTCTGGAATTACTCCTGGCTGTGCTTGGGGGACCCTATGGAATGCTGGGAATCGAACCTGGTTTGGCCGCGTGCAAGGCAAACGCCCTACCCTCTGTGCTATTGCTCCAGCCCCTGAACAACTTTGTAAACCGCAGTGTTTATATGAAGTGTAGGGGGGAAATTTACACATGTAGGTCTTACCTATTCCATGTAAACTCCAAAATATATTAGTAAAATATATGAGCACAGAATTTCTTTTAAAAGTTTTATTAATGACAGGTAAGATATGATTATTGCCACAATGATATTCAAGGAAAATAAAATTTAATTTAATATCCTTTAGATTCCAGAGTTGAGGACTTGCTTACATTGAGGACTTACTTATGTAAACAAGAATAGGCATTTTATTATATTGTATTAATCAGTTTTAATTCCCTTATTAAGGTAGGTTAAAATCATATAGTAATCACACACAAAAAAGGAGAGTTGCCCCCTGGAAGCAGCTATGAGAGCATCCCAGGGCCTCAGGGGATAGCACTGCCAGGACGTGGCCATCCCTGGTCCCCACAGATCCACAGGGAGAAGGAAAAGGGGTCACAGCAAGGGAAATGCGACACAGCCTCCTGCCGTTTGCTCCCACTCCCCTCTGCCCTCCTTCCTTCCCTCCCTTCCTCTCCCTCCTTCCCTTCTTCTCTCCATCCCCCCTCCCTCTTTTGCTCTCCCTCCCTCCCTACCTCTCTCCCCCACCCCCCTCTCTCTTCTGGGCATTTGAGGGTAGCCCCTGACAGTGCAGGCATGGAAACCAGGCTTCCTGCTTGCAAGCATGTGCTCAGGGGTTGTAGTGGGTAGAACATTCGCCTTGCACGAAGATGACCCGAGTTTGATCCCTAATACCCCAAGGCCACCACGAGTGATCACTGAACACAGAGCCAGGAGTAAGCCTGAATTCTGTTTTTACGAACCATCCAGAGCCGTTGAATCCACAGGAATAGGAGGCAGCCTGTGATTGCCGTGCGCTAGGAGGAAGGGAGGTGCAGTGACAGTAGATGAGTCAGGGGTTCCTGCGTGGGGCCGTGGGTGTCATATGTGGAACCAAGCAGTGAGGCCTGCCACTGAGAATGTGGTGAATGCCACTGGACTGTCCCTTAGAGCTGATTACAACAGTGCGTCTAGGATGTATTTCACCACAATCAAAGCTACCACACTAAATCAGATTGTGTGGGATTAAAGCCCCCCGCTAGGGCTGGGGAGAGAACGTGCCAAGTGAAGCATGTGCCTGGGGTGTGGAGACCCAGGTCCATTCCCAACACTGTGACATCCCTGAGCAGCCCTGGGTTGTCCCTGGTGGCTCCAGCACTACTGGGCCCAAGAAACAAGGCCTGAGGATCTCTGGGAGCAGAGACACCCCAAATAAAAATAAAATCCTTTCTTGGCTCCCCAAATGTCTCACAAGTAACCCGAATTCCCGAGTGGAACCGTGGACTGCCCCTGGTGGGCTGTCGTCACCCTCTCTTGTCCTCTGTGAACCCCCCAGGCTTTACCTGGCCCGGCCCCTTCCTGCGTCCATGAGGCCACTCCCCTTTCCTTGGCACAAGGATCCACGGCTGTCCCCTGGCCTCTAGCACCAAGCTTGCTCTTGTCCAAGCTGGAAGTGAGTGTGCCTATTTATAACCAAGCTGCCAATTCTCTTTCTTTGGAGAGAAGGTCAGGAAGGGGTTTTGTCTGCATCTCTGCTGCTGGGACACAGCGGGGCTCTCTGCCCATCAGCAGTGCCCACACTCCAGTCCCCACTCCTTTCTTCTTGGGCAGTGCTGCTGCCTGGTGCTCACAAGCACTCAGTCCACAGCCTCCCCTGAACAGCAAAGTTTTCTGTTCTTATATCTGAAAGGCAAAAACTCCTCTATTAACATAATTGTGCCCCTATTACAGTCTCTAGAAAGTTGGGTTGGAGAGATAATACAGGGGTAGGGCACTTGCCTTGCATGCAACAGACCCCATCTTGTCTAGCATCCCATATGGTCCTCTAAGCACTGCCAGGAGTGATCTCTATGCAGAGTAAGGAGTAAGCTCTGAGCATGGCCAGGTGTGGCCCCAAAATTAAAAAAAAAAATAAAGGCAGTTCTTTAAATCTGCTCAGTGGTTACTCCTGCCTCTGCACTCAGGAATTACTCCTGGTGGTGCTTGGGGTACTGTGGGGTATCATAAGTGATGCTGGGGATCAAAACTGTGTTGGCCATGTGCAAGGCAAATGCCCTACCTGCTGTACTATCTATTGCTTCAGCACCATATTTCTCCATGAAGCATGCACACACACACATATGCACACACATACATACATATACATGCATATACATACATACACACATAGACACACACACACAAACACACATATTGTTGCTGTTGCTGAGAGCTTGTTAGACTGAGGTCCAAATAAGTCCGTGTTGTAAGTGGCTGAGTTCACAGCGTTGGGGCCCAACAGTTGACCCTACACGGTATCCCAGCCTGAACTTTGGTGCTTGTCTTTCGTTGCTCCTCTGTCACTAGGACTTCCCAAGAGGGGTGCTTAGGCCCAGTGCTTGCCTTGGAGTCAGGTTCTACTGATTTTTTAAAAAAATATTTGTCTATTTTTCGGTGCGGGGCCACACCTGATGGTAGTCAGGGCTTACTCCTGGGTCTGTGCTCAGGGATCGGGGCTGTTGAGGCTTGAACCCAGGTCAGCAGTGTGCGAGGCATGTGCCCTCCCCATTGTACTATCGCTTACCCTGGAACTACTGAGTTTTTAAAATGTCGTTCGAGGCACAGCCATTTACAACGCTGGCAGTGATAGGGGTCTGTGCATGAATGGTCCGTCCAGTAC